CATCTTTTATTTAAGTAAGTGAAAGAATGAGTACTAGGAAATGAAAAACTCATACTAGCAAATTGCTTCGGATTCTGTTTTTGCCTCAGCTGTAACCCTTCCTTCCTCCTGAGACGAGCAACTTTGGATTCTAATCCACGTAAAAAGACATCCATAGTATTAACAATGCCCTACGCTGTGTTTCATTAGTAAATTGGAAAAGAAATTAGCCCCACATGGAATATTTCCTTTAAAAAGCACCTTTTTTGCACTGTAAGTTGCTCGGGAACGATGAGAGGGTGAAGCTCTGAGGGAGCTGGGCCTGTTCAGCCTGGAGAAGAGAAGGCTGAGAGGGGATCTAATCAGTGTATGTAAGTACCTCAAGGGAGGGAGTGAGGAGGATGGTGCTGGCCTCTTTTCAGTGGTGGCCACTGACAGAACTAGAGGAAATGGCCAGAAACTGAAACACCAAAAGTTCCATAGGAACTTAAGGAAAAATTTCTTAACAGTGAGGGTGACAGAGCACGGGAACAGGCTGCCCAGAGAGGTTGTGGAGTCTCCTTCTCTGGAGATCTTCAAAACCCACTTGGACGCAGTCCTGTGCCACGTGCTCTAGGTGACCCTGCGTGTGCAGGGGGTTGGACTAGATGATCTCTAGAGGTCCCTTCCAACCTTAAGGGCTCTATGATTCTAAGCTCTGGAGGGTTTGCACTGCCTGTAGCTGCTGCAGCAGCTTTCACAGAGCTGCGAGATTTTTGCTGAGGTTTTTCCACTGTACAAGAGCCCCCACCCCAGGCTTTCCTATAGTAGGAACCACGTGCTCAGCTCGTGCCAAGCTGCCCACCATGTGGCCTCTTGACACCACTGGAATAACATCTGAACTGAGGGACCAGGTCACCATCTACAGAGGGCATCAAGCTTTTTGACACTTCTGCAGTAAAGGAGCCAGTCTTTGCCCCTTCATAACATTTGGGAGAACAGACACGTATTTATTTCATTGCAAGCTATGTTTTTGAAGTGAAGTCAGTATACTTAAACTCCTTGAGAGACAAGCCACCTAAAATTGATGTCTTAAAGGTGAGAGAAAGACAACTTACTTACTTAACCTCCTTACTTAAGGGCTTCACCTTCATGGAGTAAACTGACAACTCATTTCAGAAGGGTGAGTTGTAGTCATCTTTTAAAATATATAGGGTTTTCTAAGAGAAGTGGAACCATCTCCCACCACCACCCTGGAACGTTGACCCAGTAATTAAGTTGGAAGCCAAATACAGCCCTTTACCCTCCTGTTTCCTAGCCAGATGCCTAAAGTAGTCCTTGCAACACTGTCTTGTCTTCTCTGTTTATTCCCCAGGTGGAGAAATGGCCAAACACAGTCAAGACGTAGGTGGTCCCCATCTAGTTTCAAGTATCCTACAAGTTAGGCCAACAATCCATGCAGTATCTCATTTCTTCCTCACATCAAACCTCATACTCCAACACCATCATCTCACCAGTTACTGCATCCCAGGCTGCCTTGGTGTTTGTGCCACTCAACTTGTTCCATCGTAAAATCCAGTGATGGGAGCAAAGCGGCAGACGCTGATCTGAGTTCTTACCAGAACATTTACCACAAAGAACAAATTATTTAAATAGTTCAACTGCTTATCAGTCACAGGAATGTGCAACTCCTTTTAAAAGAAGAACTTCTTACTTTTACTGCTAATTGTAAAAAAAATAAGTAATGCTGTCCACTCTCCTGTGTTCCTACAATTGCAAGTAATACAGCCCTTTCTCTATAAATAGGCAAAAAAAAAAAAAGCCTGACATTTGACAGTTACAACACCACCACAACTATTTTGTATTCAAAGGGCACAGCACAACAGGAGACCCTTGAGTACTCCTTTGGAGTAGCACCAAAAATACAAGCATCTGTATAAAGGAACAACACCGTCTGCTGCAAGTAACACTTGAAACCTTGCAGATGGAAGTCGATTTAATCAACTTTGCATTTCTCGTATAGTTCATGTTACACTTATATCTAAGAGTTTGAGTATCACCTGACTGTAACTCCAGTTACTGTAGTCGACCAGTATAGCTGTTGTCTTTTTCCACTTTAAACATTTGGCAGCATGTTACAGCTAAGTTTCCCTTTTTTGTTCCCCTCAACTGTAAACTCACAAACCTGGCAAGGGGGCTTAGAACAATCAGACTTTTAAAACGGTAAAAAGAGCTAAGCAGGGAGAGGTTTTATTAGGAGTTGTTATTAGAAGGTTAGCTAACTCTCCAAATACACATTCATCAGTTTGCTATATGCTCACTTAAATGTGCAAGGCAAACAGTAACCATCTCCTCTAGCCCCCAAGGTTGTCTTCTACATCTGTTAGATGGAAACAGTACCTGCAGAGAAATACCCAGTAATCCAGTCTGTGGGTTAGGTGAACATTTAAAGCACCCAAAGTCTCCATTCAGGTGTTTTTCTCATCAGTTACCTGGCTTGAAGGTTTGGGTGCATACCGTGCGCGTTTCTTGCGCGCAGCAGTGAAATTGCAGATGTGTGCATACAAAACAACCCGAGCCCCCTTACTGCAGATACTTCCGCATTTATGTTGCGGTCGCTGCACTGAAAGTTTTCACTTCTGAAAACAGAGTGGGTTTAACTGACCCTCTATCCCCAGTGAGGACGTGAGCGCCGGCTCCAGCCCGGCAGCTGCTCCGCGACGCAGGCGGCTCCCAGGGGCTGCAGATCTGGGGACCTCCTTTGCGAGCGCTGTGTTTGGCCACAGCAATGAGTGACTGGATTGGAAATCCTGCCTACAGCAAGTCCTCAGCTCTCGCATGGCAGAAGTTCCTCCAAAGTCGCTCTCAGCAAATGTCACTCCACTCTTCCCTTCTGTGGCGCAGAACAGGAAAGCTTCATTTTTACCTTCTCCTTTCCAGACACAGCCTGGCAGAGCACCCCTGACAGAGTAAGTGAAACGCCAGGAACACTCTGTGGCTTAAGGTGCCTGAGCCCTTCATTTTCCAACATTCAGGGGATGTCTTTTCTTCCTAAATGCATGAGGATGAGCCTATACTCCACTGCTTTGTATCTGGAGTGACCTTCATACACAGTCAAAAAATTCAAACGGAGTAAAAGTTGCTGTGCCAAATACTAGAAGGACATTTATAAGTAAAATCCATTTCAAATAAAAATAAATTTATTTTAAATCATACACAGTAGGATTCCTTCATTGCACAATTCAAAATATCAGTCAGAATGATATCTGTGGGATAACATTACTTTAAAAAAAAATTCTCTGTAATGGGGGGGCACCTCAAAAAGTAACATTAGGACTAGATACAATAGAGCCTATGCAGCCACATGAGAAATGCTTTCTGCCACTTTGTTATTACACAGGTAGTTGGTTCTATCAGCTAAAGCCTAGTGACTTGGATTTGTTTTATGCATATTGGGTTTTGTTCTATTACTTTCCAAGAGATTGTACTCCCCTGAGTCAGCTGTGTTCATTGGTCAGAATAAATTCCAGCATCTGATACCATTTCCATTAATCACAGACAAACCCGCATACGTGAGCAAGATAATGGAAAGATAAAAACAGTATCTGGTGAACGGGAAGCGTTCCTTATGTATGCTGTTCACTAAGGCAGGAGAAGGGATCTAGAAGATTCTTTCAAGTTTGATAGACAAACTCGAACACAAGATGGTCATCGTATGAAGTACTTAATCCACAGGGAAGAAGGTGGCTGGAACCACATGGATCACGGAGCACCTCAGCTCAGTGACCCTTCACAGCCCACTACCAATACGGCTACGCTAGCCATAACTTTGCTGTGTATTTGCAAGTGATTTTAAGATACCTGGTTACTAAACAGCCTTGAATTTAATTGTCATTAGACTGAAGCCTGACCTGTGAAGTTGAGCACTTCACCCTCCACACGCCTGTCAATAGCAGTATTGACTTCCCCACCTCAACAAGTTCAGTGTCAAAGATCTAAACTACACAGCATTTTCCTTCAAGGTATTGAGGAGTCAAGGCATTTCACTTAACCCTGTTACATTAAGCCAAATATTAAGCAGAACAGTAAAAAAAAAAAAGCATAAACTGCATTTGTCTAAAAAATTCTTGGCTTAAAGAGAAAAAAAAATAGTACGTGGACACTCAATCTATAAAGCAGGCAGCTGCAATTCAAATAACTTGTTTCAGTGGCATATTAACGATACCACAAGAATTATTTTTACATACATCAACAATGCTAAAACATCTATTCTGATTAAATTAAGGCTTTGTTTCTTTAATGAAAGAAGAGTTAGCAGCCTTAGCAACCACACGAATAAAACGTCAGCCTTTTGGTGCTGTGCAAAGGAGGCACCACTGCACCGTGAGCGGGATGGATCTGTGGCAGGCACCACTGTGCGTAGGGTAAGGTCACTGTCACTTTCCTCAGTACAGACTGAAGTAAAGCTGAACATCTACGATTTCTAGCTTCCAGCAGCATTCCTTATGATCCTTTTAGTTCACAGTAAGGCCTATAATGGTGCAATCTAAATGGGAGAGCCGGGAAGTGTTTTCCCCTTGACTTTATCTTAATATAAAATCAAAGTTTTGGGAAAAAAAAAAGTTACTATTTGTTTCTATAGAAATCACATACAAATGTATTTCTAAATGAGAAGAATCAGGAAATAACTGAAAGGAGGGAAGGACAGAGACTCAAATTCTTTGTCTTCATCTGAGACTGTCAAAATCTAGCTAAGAGCCGTTACAAGCAACGTAGGGTATGAACTATTTTCTTGAGAATATACAAATAGCAAACAAATAAACAACTGGATTTCTTTTTTTATTCCAAGAACTAACTTTCAAGTGTCATCTCCTGCAAATGCATGCCATTTGCAGGGAAAAACTATTTAGGCCCCATGCTAGATCTGTTTACATTTACATTATACCAGCACAGCTCAATCTTCAAGGAAGTTGCTCCTTAATTTACAGCAGAGAAAGACTAGGCTTTCTGTTTTGGAACTAAAAGAAGAAAAAAAAGAATAAAAAACAAGTTTCAACTAATTGTTTTCCCTCTGTAAAGAGTTCCAGCAATAAGGTGCCTATTCAGAACCACTCTAAAAATGCTTCAGTTCATTCTAAAAATTGTTTAACTCTTGTGCAGGCAATTTTGATTACACTGATCCAGGTAATCTGCTGGACAGTTTAACAGGGATGTTTTGTTTTTCATTTCCCAAAACGCATTCTCATTAGGCTTTGGAGGACTTGGGAATACCCAGGAATTATCTTCCAGCGAGCTCTTTCCATAAGAATGCTGTTCCTGGAATGTTTTCCCATCAACTGGAATAGGTCTCTCATCTGTCCATGCTTGCAGAGTCACTCTCTCAGATGGGATTTTTACAGGAAGGGGCAGAGCACTGCAGAGTACTTGATCATTTTGTGAAAGAGATGGATTTTTATAGACTGTCGTCAAATGCAGCTTTGTAAGGTTCTTCTCCAAGTCTTCAACACACTGTACTGGTGCATAAGCAGCTGAAGAAGGAAGATTAAAAAAAGATAGAGTTATTTGTGCAGGAGACAGAGCATTTTTATATCCTCTGAATATACTGCAGTATAGTAGATATTACAAGCAGTGTTTTCAGATTACTGCAGCAAAACGTTTTAAAATTTGTAACTAAAAACTATATTATGAATCTTCTCAGACAGACTTTGCAAAGTAAACCAGAGGATCCTGAAATCACTAGGTCTAAAAAATATGCAACACCAAGGAAACCTCCAAGGTCCTGCTTAAACTCAGATGAGCTCTAGTTGTTAAGGGACACAAAGAGAAGCCACTATTTTAGTCAAAATGAGCAAATTCAGATAGCCAGAAAAAAAAAAAAAAAAAGGCAGTACCCAGTTCACAATGCCTGCAAAAAGCATTTTTCAATAGTATGCTCATCGAATCTGAAAGTTCAAGCTAAAAAAAAAAAAAAAAAAAAGATGTAACCTTTGCTAACAGGTGTAAAAAAGCCATGTGGGGATCCATAGACCTTTAAAAGTTCAAGAAAAAAAAATAGCATCTGTCATTGGAAAACATTCCAAATATTACAACATTAGCAACAAATATTACAACATTAGCTGGAAAAAAAAATCTAGTCATAATTAAACCATTATGCCATAAAATAGTTACAGATAGTAAAACTTTCTAATAACTTGGCTATTTGCAGCACCACAGCTGAACATCATCAAAACCGTATGACATTACAGCCCCCTTGAGTGAGAGCGTGGTATAGTTGAATTTGAATCACCTTGCAGGGTAAAACTAGTCCAAGTTCATATTAAGTATTTCCAGGGTTCGGCTGAACACTGGACAACTTGCATTGGCACAGACAGAACCATCCTGCTAAATTAGCACTGTGAAGCCCCCTCTTTTTTTCTCCCTGTGTAACAGATTGTCCACAGTGCAACAGTAAAAACAGGATAAATTGGCTGCCATCAAGTTAGGACTACCTACAGCAGCTAAGCAAAGAGCAAGCACAGGAGCAATCACTGGCATCTTTTCCCATCTTGGACAAATACATAAACACACCGCAGATAAGAACTAAAAAACACAACAAACCCCTCTCTACAGGCAGAGAAACAATTTACACAAGTACCCGAATCAAGGTAGTATGGAGTTTTCATTCTTCAATTTGTTGATGCTCTACATGATAAAAAGCACTGCAAAACATCAGGCAAAAAGAAAAGGCTGGGTCGCACATACTGTGTTGAGAAGGAATTGGAAAAGGCAAGAAAAATCCATGAGCACACACTGAAAATGTCTTCTTATATAAACCATCGCCAAGTAGAATCTGTGTGGTAGCTGATACTATCTTAATATCAAACATAGGGCAATGAATACTTTGTGTTCCATGGATTTAACTCTCCAAAGATTATGAAGATTTTAAAAAAATACAGAAGCATCTAGTTTCTATAAGGTAAAGATAAAACCTCAAACACGTTAGTGCTCAAGTTCACACTACAGGTACAGGTAATGGAAATTTTAAAAGTTAATTCTATCCTGTATTTTGCACAGCTCAAGGTTTTTTCTATACATTATGTTTCTACATATCATTACAGAAATACCTGCATTTCATGGTGCTGATAAACAAGGTAAGTGAAGAACAGTTTTAACTTGCATCTTAAATCCACAAATTCTTATATACTTAAAAAAAAAAAAAGGCTAGAGAACAAAGAGGGAAAAATAAGAACAAAAACCTTTGCAATCCTATCAATCAATATTGCCATTAGTAGCTACAGATGCACAAGCGCATTAGCAAATATAGAATAGGCTTTTTTAAAAAAAAAAAAAAGTTAAAGAAGGGAAAAATCACTACTTGTAATAGAAACACACAATTGCAAATTAAAAACAGATCTAGATAGAAAGATCCTACGTTATCACAAACCTTGGCAGACTTAAGGATTAAAAACTCCTAATTTCTGTACAGAAACTGGGGACTGAATTTGCCAAATGTGTCTTACATAATAATTGCAGGACCTGGTAGCACCGTGCCCAAGCCTCCAAGGCGAGTTGGCCATCTAGCAGACAGTGACTGTTAGTCACTGCCGGCCACAGGCAGAGCCCGTTGCCGCCGGCCTGGACACAAATCCTGTTGTGAGGACAGGCCCTCACCCTTTGCAGCCACATCCAGCAGCTCTTGGATTCTGAACTCAATAAATACCACAACTCAGCTGAGCAGAAAACCAAGGGGATGGCACCATGAGGCCCATGTGGATAGTGCCGCAACTGAGTATTGAAGAACCACCTCTTGCAAAGCATTTGACTTGCAACATACATATCTAATAGATGAACTAATTGCCTGCTCACTGAAATTATGTACCACAGCTGCACTATGTGGAAATGATAATTCTTCCCCTACATATTTGCAAAGGGGCAGCCGAATTAAGCACTGAATTAAGTTTTGCAGCATCAGTAGTCTGGCATTCAGAAAATGTCAACATGCATGTTGCAAGAAAAGGCAACATTTCTGAATGCTATCATAGAGAAATATGCAATCGTAAGGTGTTTTCAGTCTGTTAATGTCTAGTTTTGAAATGCTGCCAAATGAATTCTTAATATATACTATACTGGGAAAACAAGACTGAAAATAAATGTGATTTTTTTAAAAAATATGAAGTAGCCGTGGTAAAAGGTCAAACACAACCAAACTTAACACCTCAGCCTTGTGCACATAAGCAACACTTGACTGAGAAAAAAGCCACAAGGGAACAGAATACAGTAGTGAAGAAGGAGAAAAAAAAAAAAAAAGGAAAAAAAAAACCCACACGCATCAGCAACACCTTTATGTGTGAAGTTGACCAGCATGACACAGAGGCAAAAGCAGAAAATGGGTATGCTGGAACCATAATATAGCCTGGCTTATCAACTTCAATTGATGAGATTCTGATAAGATATGATAGCTAGTTTCTTTTTAAAATGCTACAGCTTAAATCAACGGTTTGCATCTGGAGGGTCTATTCCTGTAAGCACTGACTTGCCTTTCTTGGTTGCTGTTGGATTTGTTTTCAGTTTTCGTAGAACCTCAGCTTGCATTTCAGTCACTAGGTGCAAATTAGACATCTCTCTCTTCAGATCCCAATATGCTTGTTGCACACTTTCAAAACAAACAAACAACAAAAACCTTAAATATTTGCCATCTCTAAAGCATCCTCATGCTTAGTAACAGTTCCAAGGCTAATTGAGTATTAATTGTTAATCAGTTGTTTTTACCCAAAATATATTGTAAATTTGTATTAGGGTAATGGAATTCAAATTAATTCAACAGTAGTGTTAACTACCTCAAGCTGAGGGACATTTTTATATCATATGGGACTCTTATATGCTACAGTGTACAGCGTTATTAACATACTAGGTAATACTAATAACTTCAAGTTCTCCAAATGGGAAACAATATTAAGTATATTTTCCAACTACATTACTGGAAAGTAACCATCTTCCAATAAAATTAGCAGTCTCAAAGGAATACTGTCTTTTTTAATACATTAATGGATACCAGACTGTAAATAAGGTGGAGTATTAAGTGTGAATTGCTTCTGATAGATGACAACACACTGTCAGGCTGGAATCCTAGTCATGTTAATTGGTCACTCTTAAATATTCAATTAAAACCAGTATTGACTCTTCAGACCACTTTGCTACCCGAGATGCAAATTGAACACACAAGCAGAGACCAAGTTCAGCTAATTCAAGATGCTATTTCATATTCAAGTAATCTAATTCATGTTAATATACTGCCTTATTAGACAGTGTAAATATTAGAGACCCAGTTTATTTTATGATAAGACAAGCACAGTATGAGAAATAGCTTTAGCAATGGCAGCAGTGATCCGACGTTGGAGTTCAGGTTAGCAGCTGGTATGATAATCAAGAGCAAAAATCAGACAGGTTGCACCTTCATGCTTTCATTGGTAAAAATCCTAAACAAAGTTTCACCAAATTATTAATGAATTTAATTGCGGTGGTAACTTTTTTCTCTTTAAGGAAATAAGGGTCCACTTACTTCAACATAAGCATGATACAAGAAGTCTTTATACTTAACATCCTAACAAATCACATTTATTAAAGACTAGTATGAGACTTTCCAATATGCATTTATATAGATTTTTACCCATCTAAAATGGCCCTTTAGCATCATTCCCTCATTAACTCTGTCCCCCAAATCAATGCATCTGGGAGCAGCGAGACACAGCATTAAGGCCAACAGCCACTTCTGTAAGGTGGTGGCACTACCAGGAGCTCCCTTCACTCAGAAGGGCCAAATGGGATCCTGTCCTCTCCATACAGAATATTTAACTTGGAACACAGAAATGAAGATTCAAAAAACTTTACTGCAGAACCCACAGGAACCCAGTAGTTTACTAGGTAATATATTTGGTAGTGGCAATTCTGATATATGAAAAAAAATCTAATAATCTCAGCACTTAGAATTTAATAAGTTTAGCTAAACCCACAGCTTCTTACTGTGGAATTCTTGGCTCTGAACTTCTAACAAGATGACAATTTTAAACTTGAAATTAAGTGCTTTGGTCCCATCAACTCATTTTATTCACCTTTTTCTTTTTCCAGTCTCAAAACTAAACAAACTTCAGTTATACCAGAACTGTTCAACACTCAAATATATTTATATATTAAAATGGTAAATATAAGAACAGCTCAGCTGAAAGGAAAGTGTATGGGTGAATTTCATAATGGGATGACAATCCCTGAATGACAGTCTTGCAAATGAATGCATGCATCAGAATTTAAATTATCTATCAACTATTTTATTTTTCATTCATCCTGGCATATAACCCACTGCAAAGTCACTACTTTTCAAGGCAATTACAATTGAAATAAAATAAAATAAAACTAAAAACAAGTATTTCCACACACTTGGAAGTTGACCCAATGCTGTCTTCTAACAAACATGACACACAATTATTTAATCACCTATCTTTCCTTATATGCTTGTGTGTTCTGGATAGAGTACACTCTGCATGGCATAGTATGACATTTCTATCTACAAATATTCTTCTTTTTTCCTCACTTTTAATACAAACATATTTGATACAATTTGAATACATTTTAACTATTACAATTACTGCAATAAGAACACGAACAGAATGTACTAATTGCAAATATTTGTGAAACAAATTGGCAATGCTTGAGTTTGTAAAAATAGTCCCCCTTCCTGAAATGCATAATCCAAATATACACCAATATACACACTTATGTGTGCACATATACAAGGAGATTTTAGAATGACTGCAACTAGATTTGTAGACTCCTGACAAATGGAAAGTATTTATTTTCCAAAAAGGTAACTAACTGCAAATGCCTCCTTCCCTGGTAAGCAGCAGGATTGAGCGCTGCAACATATGTTTGGCATGGGAGCATTTTCAAATGGTTTTGTACAGATTTCTGGATGTGCCCATTATTCAGTATGCATTACATACTCGTTACTGGTATTAAACTACCCTACATAGGCTAATCAAATGGCTGCAACCTGAAAGTTACTTTTTAGGCTGAATTTGCACTGGAAAACAGGCAACCAAACAGAACTGTTTTACCTTGAGATAACCCCTTTTGTTCAGAGATATAAGACTATGAAGCTCCGGGAGCACTCACAAATGCGCCCGTTGGCTCCCCAGGCAAGATGGGAGGTGAAAGGTGCAACGGGGGCACGGTGTGTACAGCGGTATCTTCACTGCTCCAGAGACCATGCTGAGGAAGAAGCTGGAGAGCTTGCTTGCACGGATTGATTTCCGCTCCCACCTCTCCGCTAGCCGAGCAAGCCACACGATGCGACTCTCAGCATCTCTCGTGACTACTCTTCCCTCTTGTGGAAGATCACGTAAGTACACAGAGAAGTGGGACTGGCTGTAGAGATGCTTTTGGAAGTTTGAATACATTGTTGAGAAGCCTTTCTTTTGCATAGATAAATAGCTACCACACACATTTCCTTATTCTTATTAAATAATTATACACACATACATCATAACAGAGGGGACTATAGCATAAGTACAGTTATTCACCCTATTATGTGAATAGATAGATAGGTTACAAGATGAGAACAAATGCTTTATCATGTGCTGGCATTTTTTTTTTCAGGCAATCTTTCAGCAGACAGAAGATGAACTTAAATCTGTCTTCCCTCCTTGCTTACCTGAAGCAAGGAACAGAGCACAGAAGAAGGAAAAGATATATCTGTCCACTGCACACCCCAGTGATAGGAATTTAAGTGTTACTGATTACCTAGAAAAAGGAGTAGAGTATAATTTGGAAGAATTATGCACTAACAAGGGGAAACTCTAAACTTCTAGAACAGCTCCAGAATTACCAGCCTCTCCTTATCATCAGTAGAGAGGGAACCTTTCACTTTCATTTCTACTGCTTGCTTAGATAGAAGCAGAGAAGGGCAATGTACAGTGGTTAGAGTCAGTTACACTATCTTCATATTTATTGTATCATCTGCAAGCTGAATCACCACAAAACACCCCGAAGAACTAGTTACAGCAGCACTTAGGATTCAGCCAATGTACAAACACTACAGCCTATAGATTTTTGCAGAACGTATTCCATAAGCAACTTACACCTGAACTCCATGCACTCAGGCATGCTGAGGAAACACTTAAAGGCTACTGTAACATCACCTATAATGCCCTGTATCTGTTTGGCATTTTGATATTGCTCTACTCCTCTAATTTTCATTGTTACCCAAAATTTTGAAGAATCTAGGTGTAAAAATCACCAGGAAAAAGGTGTATAGCAAGAGGCCTTCACCCAGATTCATTCTTAGAAACCAGGAACCCCTGGAGAGAGAAGAGTGTGACCATTCATGAAAGTGCTGATAAAAGTAATACTAAATCATACATTGCCAAATATAGTCAAAAGGTAACTGAAGTCATTTTTAGAAAAAGTAGCTGTTCTCATGTTACATTCCTTTTCCCACCCGAGCACGACGATGCCTTTAGGAGTTTTCTTTAGTGTTCTTTCCCAACTAATGCCAACCTGAACCTGTCTTGACAGAACGGTGCCCTCCTAATCGCTCCCTTCATTACATTAGTCCTAAGATTGATAGAAAGAGTAGACACAGTGGAGCTGGACCTGGTCCTTCAAAGGGGGGGATCACAAAATGGCTCCTGAATATTAAAGAAATTTAAAGGAATAAAATACTGAAGAGAAATAGAAACACTAGTCGACTAGTTCGACTAATATTAGAACTAGAAATACTACTGCCGTGCACTAAGTAAAATACGTTCCAACACTATACAAAAGAGTTTTGAAACTACCACCTATAGAAACACAGAAATCTTCACATGCACAGAATTCTAAGATTCCTATGGTCAAGAGGAGGCTCAGAAGTTAAACTACTGCCTCAAGTCAAATAATTATTAAAAGACAAACTTGAAATGCAAGACAATTTAAGTCTCATTTTCTGAACATTAATTTGAAAATGCAAATGTTTTCTTCACGCTATCATCCTGGTCAATCCATCAATACAGGAAAGAAAACAAAAAAGGAAAAAAGTGCTTTTGATAAATGGAGTCGACTTCAGCATAAGTTTTATGTAGATTGAAAGAAGCTGCTTGTACATGCTGCAAGAAAATCTACTAATTCAAATAAACACTTCTCAATAAACTAATAATAAACCACAAATCACTCGATTTCCATACCTCTGAATGCTTTGGCTTTGAAGGAGGTCCCCATTTAGCGGATTTTCTTCTTGAGCCTGGTCCTGTGTAAGGGCGTGAGGGGAAGGGAGGAGGGACAGGAAATGAGCAGATGAGCTCAGATCTATTAACTGAAAATACTGTGGTGAAACAACACGTTACACCCTGTCCTTTATATTCAGAAATCCCAAGCACAATAATCTTCCCTTTTTTTTTTTTTTTTTTTTTAAGCTGCAGCAGTTTTCAAAATGGACATAAAGACTTTAACTAAGAATTTCCACTTAAAAATGCCTAACTTGACCTACTGAATGAACTCATGCCTGGGCTAGGCTTCCATGTAACAAAATAGTTCATAGGAAATCTTCCAGCACACAAATACACAGATACTACTAGATTAGCCAACATGCTTGGAATCAGCATTCTTTGGAGCTTAGCCCCTGGAATTTGTACTTACTTGAAAAGCACAAACAGAGCAATGCTGTTAGTACCCAAAGTTTGACACATTTAAAAATAAATATATATTTTTTAAATCATTCTTTTCTTATTCTTTTCCTGCCCCAGAATATAAACATCCTTTAAGTTAGAACAGAATGTTTCAGTATAGATTTAGTTGCACAAGTTATTTTTATGCTAGAATATTATTTCTCCGTTGTGTCCCCACGACACATGGAGACAAGTGACACACAGTGATACATACAAGTTGCTTCCTTGTGCTCAGCGGGACTGTTCAACACATCAGACACGGTGCTTAAATCAGCCATCACCACCTTTGTGATGCTTCTATTTTAACTTTCCATCCATACCCATTTTTCCCCTGTTCCCTTCGTACTAAATCCTTCTCTAGTTCAAGGTGTTATCTGAACTTGAATTGTTACTTGAAATTAAAATAGGCCCTCACAAAGCCATGGGGAATTGCCAGTGCAGCACAATGATTATATTCATCTCAAACACAAAATCTGAGTAAGCATCTGAAACAGAGTTCCTGAAAATATTAAAAACAATAAATAGAAAATAAAAACAGGTGGGTTTGAAACAATGCTGACTTGTCATTGCCTATTTGTCATATTTCTGTGTTTTACCTGACAACACCCCCTGATCTTTGAAGATTTTTCCATCATCTGTTGAAGAATCAATTTTATAGTTCAAAAAAAAAAAAAAAAAAAAAAACAACCTTATAGCTGCACTACATTGTCCCACATTCGAAAACTTGTTTGTGCTTATTTCCTATATTTACCAGTTATTAAGATCAAAACAGAAATGTATAAATAAGAAAAGCTCTTCCTTCAACTCCCTCTTTACAAGAAATGCTACTATCATAGGCCTTATTTAAACACTGTAATGTCTAGTAATGTCTTTCTTGCAACACTCTTACAACACAAGCTGCAATCCTTAATTATGTGGCTTTTACCCTACTCCATAAAATTACCCGAAGACACCAACGCTGCACACTAGTTACAGAATGTCTTCAAAATTTACAAGTTACTAAAAGTATCACTAAAAGCCCCCGCTGCACATGAAAAGAGGCAACAGTAACTAAAATTATGGCCAGCTAACGGGCTTTATCCCCACCTAGTGGAAAACACACAGACTTAACCCAAGACGAGGCATTTGATGCAGTTCTGTCCACATGAACTTGTCCATGTGGAAAGGGAGTGGTTTGTGGGGACAACTCAGTGCTGAGGACACAGCACTCCAACTGCATGAGCTTGGAGAGCACCTACGGAGAAGGACATCATGTCAGGCCACCCTAGTCTCCTCCCTGCGTGGGGCTGGGGTTGCCCTGGATGGCACCTCCCTCTAGGTTGGGGTGCATCTGGACAGGTTCATCCCAGAGAAATCCAGTTCCCCTACTCGAGAGGGCTCCCCAATGCAAGGCACAGTGGGCAGCAGTGACCAGGAGATTTGCTTCAAAAGTACATTTCTGCAGTAATTTAAATACATTCATAAGAGTCAAATGTTTCCAAATTAGGCCAAATGCTGTATTTTCTCCAAGCAAGCCATCTTCCACAAGCCACTCTCCCTGCCCTAACACCATTACAGCTCCTTTCCACTGTCCTATCCCAAGATCTGTGGGGCTGAAGAGGTACAAAAAAGTGGACTCCTTCCCTTAAGAAGCTCAGTCCAAAAGAAACACCAGCACAGAACACTTCATTCTGAATGGCTTCTTACAAGAAATTGTAAAACTTCATTTTCTGTTGCTTATAACTGCAACTGCTGGGAAATCTCACCTGTGTAAGCACACTATTTCCAAGAAGCTATGCTTAATTTTTCTAAGACAGTCATTTTCCACTCAATTACATACTTACTTTTCTACCTTCTATTTTGCCAGAAGAAAATATTTAAGAGGATTATAACACAGTCAAGTCTTTTATTAAAATTTCCTTAAAAGTAAAGATACCTTCTGCTTGGATTTTTGCAGTTCCTTTCTGAGACTGTTGCACTCTTGCTTGAGCTCTTCTAGATCCTTTTCCAGACTATGCACTTTCAGGTTGCTGTTCAGCTTCTCTATTTCCCAGCTAGACTGAGTACTATTCAGCTCTTTCATCACTGTAAGAAGATAAGCAAGACAATTAGAGTTCAGTCTCAGTTCAAGGTGACTCAATACATAAGGTTTCACCTTTTCTTCCGAAACAGTTTCTGCTAATCAGCAGATGCCCTGTAAAAACCTCATGCACAGGAAACTGCTACCAAGTCTTTAACAGCAAAGAAAAAGCAATGCTAATGAAGATGTTTGGAAGGGGAAAAAAAGTTGTTTTGAGTTCAAAACAGAATTCTGCTTTCCAGGAAGGTTGCAGAGATTTTATAAAGAAAAGAAGTGTTACCATAAAGTCACCAAAAAATACAAAATTGTGCACATATACTATCTTTCTTACCCCTGACATACTGAAAATATAGCCTCATTCTCCAGTTTTATCATGTTACCTCATTTACCCTAAGTTTTTTTTTTCCAGTTTTGGAAAGCAAACTGTTCTAAACAGAGCAGCAAAAAATGCTATCAAAACAAATAGGTAATGTCTGGAGGTTACCTGTGCCTTTGTATTAGACAGGAGGGGGAAGAAGGAAAAAAAAATAAAAAGCACAACCACAGCCACACACACATGCACATACTGAGAAAGAAGTGACATCAGATGATGATCCTAACATCAAGTCAGCAACAAAGGAAAACACACACACACACACACACACCTACTGAACTGTAAGGCTATGCACCTTTCAAAATATTAGAATAACCTTGTGTGGAAAAGGACAACAGCCTCATAGCTTTACCATGTTTTGCCTATAGCCATCTAACACACATGCCACCATATGCCAGAACAAATATAAGCCTGAAATCCCTCGTTACAGTTTTCATACAGCTCTATATGGGCGGAAACCTCCGAATGCAACGATTTAACAACATAACCACTAAAAGTAGCCTATCAAAAGTTTACAGCATAACCAGTTATGATGAATAACCAAATATGTACCTTGTTGAGTTTCTACTTCAGTTCTCAGTTGTAAGAGTTCCACTTCTTTAGACTGCAACTGCTCATTCAAGATTTTCAAGGATTCTGAAGTTTCCTTCCTCTGTTTTCAGGGGGGAAAAAAAAAAAATCTCTATCATCTCCGCCAATGCAACTTTTTTCTTCAGGAAAACATCTTAATTCTTTCAGTGATTTAGGATGTTTTTCTATCTAGTATTAGCCAAGGACAGTAATGAAAAGGTGCTATTTTAAAAGAACAGCAACAGTTTCAAGTACTACTTTAAAAAACGAGCAATAAACCAAACACTGCTTATCATCAGCAAGTAAAATATGTTTTTCAGTAAACATTTACTAAGCGTGCTGTGCTTCGCTAACACGCACAAGACAGGAAGCTGCCTTACCATTTTATCCAGTTTGCTCTGGAGGGCGTCCCGGTCAATGCAGGCCTCTCGGTAGGCCTGGTAGGCCTTGTTCACCTGCTCCCGGCCAACGGAGCTGCACTCCTCCTCCAGCCGGGAGCCAAGGAGCTAGGGGTTTAACAAGCCAAAGAAGTAAGAACCTTCCGACCGGCATGCTGAGAACAGCAAAATGCAGCAAGTGCACTTAGTCAATATTTTTACAGCCTGCAACATGAAACTGATTCATATTTTTTAATTCAAGTCTTGTATTAATAAGAAACAATTAATTAAAAATCGAGACCTTCTGCAAAGACATTACTGTGTGACTTTTTATGTTTAGCAATAACTTTCTTTAACTGGGCAAACAACTGCATCATGATCAATTCATAGCTGTAATGAACTCCACTAGACTAATGCAACAAGCAGCTACACACAAAAAGCAATTTTTTAAAATTATTTTGAGTTCTAGAATTACTGTATCAAATAACAACCAGCCAACACTTATGTGTTAAGCATTTTAACTCTGTAGTTCATCTTTGAGGTGGCTGTTAGCTACACCTGCACCAAGTGTTTTTTTCCTGATGATGTCACTATCTTTATTAAAAGCATCTCTTGGTGCTTAAGCACTTGTGGATTCTGACAACTCGCAGACTTGGCACTTTGCTGTCTAACAACAATAGGCTGGACAACCCTGAGTTAATAAGTACTCTAGAGAGGCAGATAAGATGCAGGAATGATCTAAAGCAACTCCACTTTCTCCACGTCAAACCGGTATCTTTGCGTGGCACTGCTGCACTGGATCATGCACACAGGCGTACACACACACTCAAAGAAATCCAGTCTAACAAATCTAACATAGCTAGACTATGAGAGGGGAAAAAAAAAGTGTTTCTTTAGGTAGATAATTTGCCAGAATTTTTACTGAAAAATAATTTTCTGTATATGCTTTATATACCTAATATCTGCTCTGCCATCTACATGAGAGCTAAAGTAGCTGTTAGCAGAAGGTGGCTAGCTGAACTTTTTCTTACCTTCTCTTCCAGAATTCTCACTCTTTTCTTTAAGAAGGAGTTTTCCTTCTCTGACTCCTTCAGCCGTTTCTTGATGTCTTCATATGCAGTGACAAGGGCGAAGTGTGAGGCAACAGACTCATCTCCACTATAGGATGAAACAGGAACCTCCCCATCTCTCTTGTGAGTGTTATCTGCTTTTTCATGGTTCAAAATACAGATGTCATCTTCCACCAACTCCTCCATGACAGCTGTTTTAAGAAGACAGGTCAGAAGGTAAAATTTTCACAAAAATAAATTCACCAAGAGCATCTGATTTGAAAACTAGAAAAAAAAATACTGCATGGTGTTTTGTTCAGATATAACAAAGCTGAAAAATTAGGAAATATCTTAAACTTGCAGAAAATCTTGAAACCCATTTTACATGAAAAAAACTACCAGTTAGAAAATAAGTGCATCTTGGGCTGTTACTTTTGAGAAAAAAAAATCCCAGGAATCATTATCTATGAACTCCAAAGTTTCCTTCTGTTAACACTTAGTGCCATCCTTGATTTAGGTAGTACAAAGTATTTGAAACTCCAAAGGAATATCCCACTACAGTGTTTGTAAGACAGCACTGAACTGTAGTAAAAGAACTTACTTTATATCTAGAAGGAAACTACTAATTACTACGCTTCCCAAGCACAAGTGCAAAAAGGAAGGTGTTTCTTTTAATTAGATCTTGGGGAAAAAAAAAATAATAATAATTGTATACATTTTCCAACCTTTAAAAGGCAGCCTAATGCACAGGAGCAGATCACGAAAGACGCTAGATGAGTTACTTCTTACTTATTATTCAAGTGACATTGTATTAATGGCCAAAAACATGAATGAAAACCAAAGACTTCAGAATGACAATTTTAAAACATATCCAGACAGTAACTAGAATTAGTGCACTCATTTAAAAATTTTACTTTTCAAGCGTTAAAA